GTTTCTCCACGATCAGCTGGTGACCCAGATACGCGCATCCGGGCGAAGTGCCGTCTCTCTAGTATTACTGTAAACTCTCTGGATTTACCTGACACAAAATTGACGCATCTAGCTTCTTTTGGAGTACTTTTTAAAAAAAGGATTCTCCGATCGCGGTTACATTTACGAAGGCTTCGAACTGAATGGTAGAAAGAAGCAGGAAAAAGAGACCATTGTTTTGATGTATACTAACATGTAAAAAAAAAACGGATAAGAGGAAACTGTTACAGATAGCAAAGAATGTTTAGTCATGCGGCTTTCTGAGGGACCACTCGGGACTACCTGTCATCTATTGCAGTGTGTCAAATGCGCTATGTACTTTATTTTACTTTTACTTTTTAATCCTCTGTTGCCATTAAGTGTCCTGGGGAGATGCAGTTTTCTATGGTAGGCCAGCTCTGCAGCTCTTTTAATTGGGATATATTATAATTTCTCAGGGTTTCTTTGACTCCCTAAATCCGTCTTTTGCGTGTTCTACCTCTTCCTTTATAGCCTGAGTACAGTCGAACCTGTGTAAGACGGAATCGCAAGGCAGCCTGAAAAAAATTCCGTCTTAGACATTTTCCACCTTAGACAAGGGGATTTAGGGGAAAATGGAAGGGGGGGGTGGGGGAGTCAAAGGCCCAGCCGGTGGGATCAAGGATAGCTTGTCCGAACTCCGAAGAGCATGCAGTGGTCAGAATTTCACACCTCCCAATTGCTGTCCTGTCTGATAATGACACGCGTCAGTCTTACTTATTCAATTACCACCAGTGCTTGCCATTCATTGGACCACTGTTTGACCTATTAAAAATAGAAACGTATTAACGTCTCCTTTGCTTCCACCCTTAGCCCCACCCAATGGTGTAACAAGCACAGTCAACCAATGCCACCTCTCACTTCCATCATGTAACAACGATTCGAGGAACTCTTTTCTCGGCTGGCCGTGTGATCAGGGCGGCAGGCCGTACGATCAGGGCGGCAGGCCGTACGATCAGGGCGGCAGGCATTGGCAATCTAATTTCACACCTCTCACTTGTCAAATCTGGGCTGAGTGGGCAAAGCATTTTCCGTCTTAGACAGGTGAAACCCTTGAAAGGGAGCGGATTTTTCTTTCCGTTCCCGCGTTGGACAGGTTTCCGTTTTATACAGGTAATAAAGATGAATATATCGAGGGGGAGCGGGGAGCTTCCGTTAAGACAGGTTTCAGTTTTATAGAGGTTTCCGTTAAGGCAGGTTCGACTGTACTTGGTGTTATAGGCTCTTGAGGGTGGCTGGCTTGGTGACATTCGTAACAGGTGACCAAACTGTTTTATTCTCTGCTTTTCTATGAAATGCAGGCAGGAAATCGGTGCCAATAGTTGCTTCATTTCTCTGCCTGTCTCTTCTTGAACACAGTGATTTTGTTTAATGACAATTCTAAGAGAATTTGTCTTACGATTTGCTGAACAAGTACATGCGTATAAATTTTTTTGGCGTACTTGATCACTTGACTAAACCATTAAACCAATAGGCTTATTGAGTGTTCTACAGCATTCACATGTTTTGTGCATCATAGGCCTAAACATAGCAGTCAGTGACCAATGAAAGACCTTCCCTTAAAGATGTATTTCAAGTGTCCGATTAAAAGACATTTCAGTTTGAGTCTTGCAAACATATCGCTTTCCAAATCCAATGCGTCCATAGAACTTAAGATGTGAAAAAGCAGCCCTTAACTTTCACTGTGCTGTGAGAGGGGCGGTCAGGCCAACTCTGTTGTCTGGGCTTGTCTTTGTTATAATATATTATGATGCAAAATCTCTAGGTTGTTACAAAAATTTCCCTTTGTCACGTTTTAGCTGTATATGTGTTTTATAGATTGAAAGTGCATTTAGAAGAAGTGATTGTGCGTTTGTACATCTAAATTATATTGTAAAAAATACACGATCCTAAGATGGAAGCATCTGTTTGAACAGAGTATGCCTTTATACGGCATGCGTTTAGGTTGCATCAACTGTACAACATGATGTATCACAGTGGTTTCCAATATGGACATTGGAAGAGTGACTCATCAAATCTGTGGTTTCTTTGAAATGACATTTGTTAAAAGAAATTAAAGATGATGAATTTACTAGCTGAAAATTTGAATCATCTCTCTCTGTGTCTTTGCAGGGCAACTTGAAAAAAATCACATTGACAGATGCTGATATCTCTGAAACACGAGTAGACAAGAAACAGTACGCCTTCAGAATTAGGAGCAAGCAAAATGGAAGGACCTACTACATTCATGCTGAAAATGAACTAACACAGAATAGTTGGATGCAAGCAATTTGCTTTGCCAAGGCAGCTGGCAGTCATGGAAGCGCTTCTCAGGCGTGTGTTGTGCAGTGATGTGATAGCTATATAACACAGTGACTTGGTGGACATTTCCCCTTCTCCAACTTATGTTCAACTTGAGGTTTTATTTGGGCCACTACTTCTGTGATATTTTCATGCTGGGTGACCAACATGGGCTGTTATTTTATTTTTATTGTTCAATTCAACCAATTCCGCTTTAATTTTGATGTTCAGTTTGTCAGCTTTGCAGGCTTTGTTTGTGCATGTAACTTGTGTGTGGATGTGAAATTGGAAGTCAATGAATGTATCAATGAAAAGTCCAAGTTCTCTTCAAAACCATCTGTTGGGAGAGTTTTGAGTGTAGTTGCATTCAGTTGTCTTCCATTCCTTATTTGGTAGAACTTGGTTGTGATAAGTTATGATTTGCTGTCCCTGCATACTTTTTCACACTTTTATTTTTGCCTCTTGGACATTTACATATATTTTATTGGCTTTAGAATTTTTTTGTTTCTTACAAAATGGTGAATGGGTGATATTTCAACAGCTTCTGAGTCTACTAATTTGGTTTTAATTTTGAATTTGATAAGCCTTTTTATAAGCTAAAGCAAGAGACTTGTGAATTTTTTAAAATGTGTGAAAGGATGTGTCAATGTTTATTCCTAGTTGAAAAGGCATGGGACTTTTTTGCTCATCCTCCTGGATTTTGTTAAAGGAAATAATTTTTTTCACTGTATATCAACTCACACACAGAGTGCTTTTAAGTGAAATTCAAATAAGAAATTTAAGGTAATTTAAAGCAAGGAAGTAGTGCGAAAGATTTTTCTCTGTTAGTGCTTTTAGCCAACAATTACTTGAAAAAAATTGGCTACTGACAAAGTAAAGGCTTACAAGTTATTGAACAGGGAAAGAAAATGACATTTCACTCAGTGAACCTTGGAGAGATTGATTATTAAAGCCAGAAATATGTGGAATGGATGAGTTAGAAAAAATTCAGGAAAGATTACAAATACATAAAGAGCTTCCAAGAAGTCTTACTATAACTTTGTGTGCATGTTACCAATGAATATATTTAATTTAATTGTACCTTTATTTCATTAAACATTTCATTAGCCTTTCCAATTTGCCATATATGTGTATCATGTGTATTTATTTAGAGATATATTAAATGCATATATAAAAGTTAAGTGTCATTGTTTAGCAGAGACAGAGTATGTGGAATATTTATAGCACTCAATGTAGGCAGTTCAGTGAACTATGTGGCTGAGCAGAGCATGAAATATGATGCCATCCCTTCTGCAGGGTTATGTGACCTTGAAATTGTGTCGGCAATTGGGTGGTTGTCAACAGCGGGTAATTTTGTTTCTAGGTCAAGGTTTTTGGGGCACTTCCAAAACATGATTTTAATTTAAACAGAAAAAGAAAATAATTTTTCAATGCTTGCTTTCTTGTTGCAATCTAAGGCCTTGAAGTTGAAGTAGAAGTGGAAATATTTTCGTTTGAAAATGGGGAACATTTCAACTTTGAATTTAAAATTAAAATCTAGTCATTATGCAAGCACCAAACTGTCTACTCTTCTTTAATTTGTACCTTGAACAACTAGGGTTGAAAATTATTTGTGGCAGCCTAAAACTTGGGCAAAAATATATATGTGTTTTTGGATTAATCAATCTTTTGACGCAACCATATATGCAGGCCTACAATTTCAGTGCAGTGCAGGTTACTTTATGAGGTCTGACCGAGGTTGCCTGTATAAGTATAAGTGTTCAATCAATACTTTGCATTTGTTAACTTTTTATAAAGACAGTTAATGTAGGATTCCTCCCCCTGTCATTGAATCAGATCTTTCATTGAGTACAAATTTTATCCTGTATTATAGGCCTATTGATAGTCCACTGGTCAGGCTCCGCTTTGTGGCTGTAAAATAATGCATTTTTATTGTATTTTGTTTATAATATTCTTTGTTTGAGGACTTCCTATTTTTTTACTTTAAAATTTTTCTTTTTTTCTGTATGTTTACTTGCATGGAATGTGTTTAATTTAATTATGATGTATAATTTATATGAATTAGATCTTTGGTTAAGAAGTTATCAGTAGGTCTTTTTTCCCATGCGAAAAACAGTAAGACGCCGTTTTTTTCGTATTTTCTAATTAATAGTCCTTTATTAAACATTTTTTCTCTGAAATTAAGCATTTAAATTATTTTTGCACTCACAAATGTATAGACAACAAGGATACAATTATTTTGATGCATGATGCATGCAGATTGGTCAGTTAGAAACAGAATCATTGTTGATGTTTTCGTCATTCACCAAAACGTCACACTATTCTTATGTTAAGAAAGGGGGGAATTTGGTGGGAATTAAATGGACATGAAAGAAAGTATAAGTGATAACTTTGGAATTGATGAAGATTATATCCTGAAAATGTAAGATTATATAAAAAATCACACTCTTTCTGTCACACATTACATGTGTTCAACGAAAGTGAATGTATTTGAAATTTTCACTGAACTGCCTACCAAGGGCACATCATGCAATCCTTGAAAGAGGATTAAGATTGCAACATGAAATGAAGAAGTCATGTGAGCAAGCCATCCTCCAACAGGATGGACAAGAACAGGAAATATCACCACAATATTGTATTGTTTCTTTATTTAGTGCAGTCTGCATGAGGTCCCCGTTCAGTGTCATAGAACGGGAAGTGCTTTTTATTTCTGAGAGCTACAACAGATGTCTTCACACAATTCCCTGACTCAGCTTTCTGGCTTTCTCACTGGGTGGGTGGTTGGCAGGTGCTCTGGTGTGGTTTTCTTCTTCTTTCCTATCAAACATCTAACGTCCCTATCTCCTCTTCTTCTTTTTTATATTTGTTACTCTCTTGTAACACCTCTAATCTTCTGGCGCTCGTATGACCTTATTCGGTTGCGAGCGCCGTGAAACCTCTACTAAAACTAAACTTTCTCATTGGCCTCTCAACCCGCATTCTTCTTCTTTTTTTTTTTTCTCATCTCTGTATTTCTCTCTGTGTCTCCAAAGCACGGTGGTTTTATGTCCTGAGTCACATTCACATGCCTTTGATGAGCCTCTCTTGTGTCTGTCAGCAGTCAACAATGATTTCAAAGTCAATGTATTCATATTATGTACAACGAATGTCACAGCTGCTTTAAGCCAGTTCTGCTCTATTTCCTTTGCTCCTGACCCATAAAGCTAATACAGTTGGACATATGAAAATAGAATGTACCAATAAGTTCCATAAGAGGCTTACTATGGTAACACACACACAGGCAGACTCACACACACACACACACACACACACACACACGCACACACTCACACACACACACACACACACGCACGCACACACACACACACACACACATACACACAAACACACACACACACACACACACACACACACACACACACACACACACACACACACACATACACATACACTCTCTGATAATGTATATTATATCTGTATGTATTTTGTATGTTATCCTGAAATTATACAAACAACAGCCCTTTAGTTATTATTCTTTTTGTGGGGTGGGGGTGGGAGGGGAGGATGTTAATGTGATATTAACTGAAACCATATTTCTCATTTAGTAATTTTAACAATTTATTTTTAATCTGTCAACTTTTACATTGACTGCTATTAAAAATGGTAAGAGAGATGGTGGTAATGGGAAGGGGGCAGGATTTGGTGCATGAAATCAAGTGTGGAGTGAATTATAATATATAATATTGGCTTCTGTCCTCAAGCCAAGTATTAAACTGTGCCACTTTTAAAAGCTGAGTTGATGAAATAGAACATTCCTGATTTAGGCCAGGGTTCTTGACATTCTTTAACTTCTTGAGGCAAATATCTATCAACCCCCCCCCCCCCCCCCCCCCATGTGAGATTATTACTCATTGGCTTGTGAAAGTTGTTAAGTGAGGGCATTTGTGAAAGTTGTTAAGTCAGGACACAGTAGTGTTAAGTTTTTGTGTGCTTTTTTTAACAATGGAAGCATTTCTAAATGTATGTGTGTATTGTTTTTGTTGTATTATATGGGCAATCTTTTGCTAAAACTGCATTTTTCGTCAATGAAGATTGAAATAAAATCAGGATACATATTGTATGGACATGCTTCTAAGTTAACAGCTGCGTCTGGAGGGTGGGGGTGGGCGTGGGGAGAGGGGTTAAATATTTTGTCCCAACTGACTCCCATGTCTCTCTCTGACTTGACCTATTTCCCTGTCAAACAGCGGTCAGTTTAAACTCAATCTCTTTGGAAATACTTTCACCTTTCGTTCAGATGCTCTCAGCAGGTCCTCAGTGGAAAAAGAAAGTTCATAAGTAAAGAGAAAGACGCGCAAGATAAAACGTGACATTTTCATTTGTTCAAGCTAGAAGCGTCTTTTGTACTTCCATAGGGGTTGTTGTTGACAAATGTTGTAGATGCCTTACAATTCTCTCTTTTTCCTATGGCAGCTCATTTTAATGGTATAGTGGGGTCTCCAGTAATTTCACACATGTTTAGATTATTGGCTTTATTTTCACAAGATTGTTCCATGGCACAAATGTTCCTGTGGATTTAAAGAGCGGTATAAGGACAAGTTAATGTGGGCTATGAAATCACTGTATAAATGTGACAGATTCATATATTATTCTGATATGTTGATCACTCATGGCAACTCTGTAGCAGAGGTATGAAATCACCGGTGTATTTGTATTGTAAGGTTCATATAGCATAACATATTACATTTTGAAATAAACTCTGCTTGTGATGTGGCTGTCAGTTAGTGAATTGAACTTTTTTGCTACAGTTTGGTTGTTCCCTTGTTCAGTTTGGACTTTAATGTCTTTTTTTTTTTTCATTACTTTTAAGCATTTTTCTCCTTTTCAGTGTCTTTTCTTGAGGTGTTGATACCTTTCCTATTGTGGGTTCATGCACTTTGCATTTGGCCAATATGTTGCACACCACCTTTTGTGTGATTTTTTTTTCTTTAACATGCTATGCTCATTGTTGTGTTCCTCTACATTTGTGTGTACTCTCTCTATTATATATATATACATGTATATTTGTTTTGTTTTAAGTGGTTTTCTTTGTCTACCTACCTCCTTACCTACATATCTGCCCACCTGTACCTATCTACCCAGCTATATCTCTCTATGTATAGGTCGATGTAGATCTCTCCCCCTTCTGTTGTCCCATCACCTGTTAATTGTGTGCGCTCGCACGCACGCACACACACACACACACACACACACACACACACACACACACACACACACACACACACACACACACACACACACACACACACACACACACACACACACACACACACACTCACATACACACACACACACATCAGCCCTTCCTTCCTTTTCATAATCATGTGGCATATCGTCATCATGCCACGATAATGGTCTGTGCAAAACTGACCCATGATGGCCTTCCTTATATAATGACCTACCCCCAGGTCATGAAACAATGTAAATGAGTCAGCACATTTCCAAGCTATTTAAACAAAATCAAGAAAAGATGCAAAAAAACAAACATGTTTCATAGATTAATAGAAAAATGTGATGGAGGCCATTATTGTAGCTTGGTGATGATATTTGACATTTTTTACATCTCAGTTTGCTTTTTCTTACATTGTAACTTACTTCCTGTAGCAAAGGGTTTTCTGTGTTGCTTTTTTTTGTGTGACTGGAGTCAGTATTCCTGTATGCTGTGTTTTCCCCATTTTGTGATCTTCATTATTCATTTACTAAACAGCATTCAATTATAGCCAAGGTCATAATGTGCTTGTGGCTTATGTGAACTGGGGGAGAAGCTCATACAAAGTAAATCCTCCCAAAATATTGTTCATATTCTACTCAAGCTGTACAGCTATTTTTTACTTCCTCAATTCTACCTGTCACATCTGTTTATTAGCTGTCTGGTAAGAACTCAACACTTTACTAAATGATATCTTATGTACATGTTCATCTGCCTAATTCATAGTTGTTTGCACTTTGGTGTGTGCACTGCACACGTGTACTCGCACGTACTCATGCATATGCACACACATACAAGCCAGCATACTACACAGTCACAGTGAATTCATTCTGTTGTCGTCATTCATGGCATATACATCATGAACATTTTTTGTTGTATCATGTGGCGTGTAATTTGGTATTATTCATATATTTTACTGGAGCTCTATTATGCATGTTTTTTCCTTTTGCACTAATTTTCAGGTTAAATGTGTGCACTCTGTGGAATTCATCTTTTGCTGTTGTATTATTTGTTTTGTTTTTGGTTTATTTAGCTAACCTTGAAATTGTTAGAGAATTCTCTTTGCCAGCCCTTCTTTTTGCAGGCAGTCTGTTGTTTCTGTTTCTTTCTCTCAGCATCAGATGACCATGATTGTGCTAGAGTACT